TGTTATCATCTGGCTACTGAGATCCCCCCCCCCCCGGCCCCCTCAGTCTGTCAATTGCTAAAGTGACATCATAAAGTGAGATAATCCCACTAATAACTTTTCCTTTAAAGTACTATCTAGGGAGATGCCTGTGAGATCCAGAAAGAGAAGAACACAGCTGTCATAACCCCTTAAATCAATGAACTAACTGAATGATCTTTCTAACTATCTTCAGAAACCACTCAAGGCTCCAGTGAAGCTATGCTGGAGAACACGCCTTCCTGCCAATTTTAATGGATAAGTAGCAGTAATTCATGTGATTTATTTATCCAAATGAAAACGTGGTAATTTTAAAACTACCTGAGTTAAAATCAATTTACTGGATAATTCCAGTAATCCAAATTCCCTTTATCCAGACACACTAGTTATCCACATGAACAGTGTGTGTCCTCTGTAGGCTGTTAGTTAATCACCTGCTAATTAACTAACATTATGGCTGCAGGAACTTCGATTTGGGAGGATTTCTGGAATTAGGGATGAGGACAGCAAGAAAAGGGGTGGGGAAATGAGGGAGAAGCTAGGAGAGGAGAGAAAAGATGGGGCATGGAAGAGAGCGAATAGGTAAGAAAAAAAGAAGGGGTTAAGATGAAGACTGAAAGGAGAAGTGTTGGCACTTCCATCCAGGACACTCTTAGAGGTGATATTTGTACAACATTGTGCTTCTCTCCAGATACAAAGCAGCAATATTTATTGAACACTTCTGCCCTTTCTGTATCATTATTATTATTTTACCATCTCCATGGAGTAATGGGCCTGTATCAGTGTTAGAATATCTTTTGTTCCTGAAATACTTATATAAAACCTCCTTGTTCTCCTTGGCCCTGCCACCATGGAGTCTTCCCTGATCTCTTGAGCTTCACTTATAGTCCTGCATTTTATTACTTCTGGATGTTAGAAGTGATAAGGAGACAGCATTTTGGTTAAAAGCAGTGCAGAAAAGACAGCTGCAGAGACGTTGTCTACTAGCCCGTGAAAACACAGAGACTTGGGCTAAATGGTGGAACCTCAGAATATGATGTTGTGCAGAGAGGTGGGAGTGACGGTGACTGCAGAGACACTGATGAGCAGAGGTGGAGGCATCATTCAACCACCCTTTCTCCTCAGGGGCAGAAGACAAACCCACCCAAACACACAGCTAGACTCTGGGGACATTGCTGATCTGAGACAACAAACTGTGAGTAGGGGACAGTGGAAGGAAAAAGGGATTGGAATGTTAAAGAGACATTCGTTCCACGGGTTTCACACAGCAAGGTGGGAAACTGAGAAAATGGACACTGCTCAAGATACTGTAGGGTGAGTGTTTTACTGATTAGTTGTGTACTTTCAAATCCTTGTTGCAGTGTCTTCCTAAATCAATGCTGTGTTTTCTTCTTTAATAAAAGTTTTCTTTTGTTATAGACACTCAGTTCTTGCGAGAGGGGAAGTATTGCCTCTTAGTGGCACCCAGGAGTAGTGTTTATTTTCCTTAGATTAGCGGGTGGGGTCTCAAGCCGGTTCTCTTTTGTGTTGTTAAGAGGAAGCCCTTGATATTGAACCCAGCCTTTGTTGCTACCTACACCACATGGCAGAAGGGTTACATGGCCAAAATTGATCACTTTGACAAAGTAGGGCTGTCTGCTGATTACATAGGCAGAATATATGTGTCTATTGAAATACAGTCTTCTCCTGAGATCTTTCCCCCCATTGGTTTGGAGAGAACTAGCCGTGCCAGGCAGGCCAGACTTTCTTTCTTTCTATTTTTTTTTTGATCGAATTATATACTTAGTTGCTGAGCTGCACGTGATAAATATGATGTGTTTGAATTTCTCCAGAGAATTTAGTCCAGTCAAAGGGACATTGTCCAGTGACTTCAACGGGCTTTGAACTAGTCTGTAGGTATTTACTAGGTATTTCCAGAGTGTAACTTGTGTAAAACAGACATTTGTCAGATGTCATTATTAGTAAGAAAACATGGAATTTACTATTAATAATGATGTCATACGTATCCATGAATAGGCCAGAATACTTGGCATAATTTAGACCTAAACCTTTAAAACACGTCGAATTACAGAGGCTCCTTCTGATTTTCACAGAAGAGTTAGACTAAGAAACAGGAACAGTTGCTAGCTAATCTGACCACACACTCTTGTTAAAATGGGAAATGGCTTCCTCCTTTATCTTTTTTTCCTCCAGATTGTATACTTTATGCCAAGAAATCCATAATAGAGACACAGTAGATCCAGGTCTTACTTGTTATGGCAATATCATGTACAAATGGTTTAATGGGAAAAGAGAGAAGTAAAGGTTGTCAGTAAAAGTTTAAGAATCTATATAGACATTTGAAAGCTCTAATGAGGATTCTGTAACCAGGGTGTGCATAGACTCATAGACTTTAAGGTCAGAAGAGCCCATTATGATTATCTAGTCTGACCTCCTGCACAACACAGGCCACAGAATCTCACCCACCCACTTCTGTAACAAACTCCTAACCTATGTCTGAGCTACTGAAGTCCTCAAATCATGGTTTAAAGACTTCAAGGTGCAGAGAATCCTCCAGCAAGTGACCCGTGCCACACGCTGCAACGGAAGGCAAAAAAACCCCAGGGCCTCTGCCAATCTTCCCTGGAGGAAAATTCCTTTCCGACCCCAAATATGGCAATCAGCTAAGCCCTGAGCATGTGGGCAAGACTCACCAGCCAGACACCCATAAAATAATTCTCTGTAGTAACTCAGATCCCACCCCATCTAATATCCCATCACAGGCCATTAGGCATATTTACTGCTAATAGTCAAAGATCAATTCATTGCCAGTATTGACTATTTGAGGAAGTTTTATTACCAAGGAGATCTGACCTCAAAGAGTATTGCAAATATGTCCTACGATGTTATCTATTTTAAATACAATTGTGATAATGTAATATATATTTATGTCTAACTGATTGTTCATAAAGGGAAAAAGGACTTTGTTTTATATTGTAGAAGGTGATACATTCAGTTGATATGATGAGAAGTGAAATTCTCTAAAAATGAATCCAACAAATGTTATAAAGTCTAAACAACCAAAAGGCCTGATCAGCTGCTTGTTGGCAATTGCACAGAAACAGCTTAATTTATGAGTTGAACCGACCATAAGGAGGGTGTGAATGAACTCTCCCTTGGCATGTAGTGATGAACTCGGGGAAAAGATCTCAGTGGAAGACTGTAATTGCATCGACACACCGATTTTATAAGGACAGTCCTGCTATTTGGGGCTTTTTCTTATACAGGCGCCTATTACCCCCTACCTCATCCCGATTTTTCACACTTGCTTTCTGGTCACCCTGTTCAGCAGTGAAGACAAAACGTCGGTTACCTGATTTCCAGCTGACACACCCACAGCCTCAAAACCCACCTGACTCCTCCCTCCTCACATGGACGAGACGAGCCCCAGACTCCCACCTCCTCAACTATCAAGCCCTCCCTGCATCTTAAGACAGGACTCAAGCAGGTCCCACTGCCCAGCCTGTCCTATCCCCAACCTCCATTTCCTCCAAATGCCAATTTGCCCTGTTCAGTGTGGGGGTTGAGAAGTTCTGTACATCTGGGGAAGGGAGAGATTACGGTCTCCTCATTAAGGGAAGTGTGGGGCAGGTGGAATCTATCTACATTTCTAATGTGCCCTTTACTTACCCCCTGACTGTGAGTGCTGTGTGCTAACCATTGGACCAAGGTGACCAAAGACAGTTGTTTCTCCATATGGAATATTAGCTGGGGAGTAGGAACCAGCACAATCATGGAAAGAGGCAGGCTCTACTTAGTTAAGTCTGTGATGAGACATTCTGTTTACAGCCTCCATTTCTAAATTTTGTCTGTGTGATCCAGTGACAGAGGTTTATTTCTGACCACAATTGGTTTGACATTATCAAGGATTCAAGAGCAAATACCGCAATATACAGGAAAGACAGAAGTATGGTAAGAGACCACCCTAGCTTAACCAGGAGATCTCCAATGACTTGAAATTCAAAACAGACTCACACCAAAAGTGAAACCAGGTCAAATGACAAAGGAAGAATATATAGATTTAAATCCTCTGATGTTGCTCAAGAAAGGAGCTAACTAATATTTTGGGTTTGGTCCCCAATTGTGGTGTCAAAAAATGACCTTCTCAGCAAACATTATGTGGTGGGGGCGGGAGTTCAAATTCTTTTGCCTATACACAGACATTGTAGAACAATTGTTTATGGGGGACTTTTCCTTACCCCTGTTTGTCTGCGTCCCCATTCAAGGAACAAACAACAAGTTTGTCACAATCGCGTATGATAAAGCTCGTTATGTCCCTGTCAGTAAACCCCACATTGACACCATCAGCACTGAAATACAGACAGACCAGAAGAGACACGTCTCATTTCACTTTGAGAAGGTGGCCATCAAGTTGCACCTGCGCTCCCGGAGACAGCAGGGCTTTGAAAAAGCAAAACACGATGGTAATCCTAAACTATTAGGGAGATTCCTCAACTACAGAAACTATTACAATGAGAGGCTGGATGTGCCCTTCCTGGATATCACAGAGCCCATGTGAGGCACTTTCCACACGTTAAAAGAGAGATATTTTAGTCACCCTGGCTTTAGTTCACTGCGGGTCTGAAGACTGTACCAAAATCAAACTAGACTTGTTCTAAATAGCCCCTACAGAGACCAGCATCAAGAAAAGCATCTACAGCCATTATGAATGCTGCTCCCCTTGATTTTCATATAGCAGGGAATGGCGTAGATTATATGCATTTAAACAACATGCGACTGTACCTTTGTTCGGATATTGTAAAAGAAGATGGAACCACTCTCAACGGGGGGGACTCTGGCCTCTGGTTGAATTACCCTGTGGCCTCTCTCTGCAGTCAGCTGGATGTCAAGTTGGGAGACCACCTCATAAGCCAAAGCAATAACTAGTACCCTTACAGGGTCTTTATAAAATCAGTGCTAAATTACAATGATGACACACTTACCACACTGTTTTCTGCTGGCCTGTTATACAAAGATATTCCTGGACAAGGTGAAGCAGTGGAGCTGGATGGTGAGAACCAAGTGTTTACGAGACAGGCAAACCTGACTACCCAGAACAGGAAGATACAGCTGCTGGGTCGTCTACATAGCAACCTGTTTTTTTCAAGAAAAAACTTCTGTTGAACAGTATTGTGATAAATGAAGTGTGTGTGTGTTGCGGGGGGGAGGGAGTAGCTCCCTTTTATGGACACCCAGACAGCCAGTTCGCTGTAAAATCCCTCTTGGTAGCTGTTCTCTGCTTGCTTTACCTGTAAAGGATTTAAAAAGTCCCCCAGTTAAAGAAAAGAGCCAATGGCAAGGCTGGAACTTTTTAAAATTGGGAAGGAAGCTTTCCCTTGGTGTCTGTGGTTGTTACACTCTGAAAATACCTGGGTCCAAGGGTTTTTTTTTTTGCATTTGGGTGGTGGCAGCATTTACCAGGACTGGCCTTACCATGAGGCAAACTGAGGCAGCTGCCTCAGGTGCCAGACTGTCGGGGGGGTGGGGCACCACTAGGACCCAGAGTGTAGAAGATTGTGTCTGCTGCTGGTGCATCTGTATTCTCTCTGCTCTAGATGCACAGAGATGGTGGAGTGTTGTGCTGGAGGAAGGAGGGCACAAGAGACATAACAGGCGGGCAGGAGAAAAGGTGAGAGGGAATAACAGAAAGCAGCAGGAGCTGCAGGGAGAGAGAGGAGGAGGAGCTTCTTATGTACCTCTTTAGCACCCCCAGGAGCCTGGACTGGTTGACACCAGCTTCTCAGGGAGCTTCCTGTTTCCTACTGGTTCCCTGAACCTACTTGAGGAGAACAGGCAGTCAACTGAAGTAGTAGGAGCCAGTTAGTCCCTTAAGACGCTGATATCTTCCCTCCCTCGGGCCTGCTACCAGCCTTATTTGTCCCCTTCAATTGAGTGTTGAGAGCCACTATAGCTGGCACAGAACAGCAGTCATGAGTGAAAGAAGAAAACATCCCTCTGGGGCAGCATTCAGAAAAAGAAAGAAAGCAAAGGAAGCTTTTCTATCTAAGCTGGAAGGAGCTCTCCTGAGATACACAGACACAAATGTTCACGGTGAGCCTTCCGGCCGCAGTGAGGATGTGAGTGGCGAGGAGATGCCTGATCTTCCAGTTAGTCAGAGTGCAGGTGACCTGGCAGCTATTGCAGCATCCATATCTGCATCGCAAATGGATGTAACCATGCACATTCCTGAAGAAAAGTTTAGATCAGAGAAAAGCATGGTGGAGGCACAAGAAACAGCTGCTGCTGAGTTTAGTTTTTTAAGTCTAGATGATCCAGGACTGTGGAACCACTTGAGCAATAGCCTGAGGGACTTCCTTGTACTGCATGGGCCACAGCAAGTGGCAAACTTCATGTACCTCAAAGACAATGAAAATAGAAGTTTCCATCCAACACATTACTGGCATGAAATCCCCAGTGGTGACAAAGTGGAGAGGCCATGGCTTATGTTCTCAAAAACCCAGAATGCTGCATACTGTTTTTGTTGCAAACTCTGCCAGTCTAATGTTCCAGCCACATTGGATTCTACAGGAACAAAAGACTGGAAAAACCTGGCTAGAAATCTGGCATGCCATGAGAAGGCAGCAAATCACCAGAGAGCATTCCATAGGCGGAAAAAGCTTGAGATGAGACTAAGGTTAAAGGCCACCATAGACGATCAGCATCAAGAGAAGATTTCATCAGAGTCTCTTTACTGGAAAAATGTTCTGAAAAGGCTCATTGCCATTGTGAGAATGCTTGCTATCCAAAACCTAGCACTGCGTGGCACTTCAGATCAGCTGTATGTGCCAAACAATGGAAACTTCCTTCAAATTGTGGAGCTGATGGCTGAGTTTGATGCTGTACTCCAGGAGCAACTAAGAAGAGTCACCACCCAAGAAATGTACACACACCACTGTTAGAGAGCTTATTCCTTCACTCTCCCACTTACCTGGTCCTTCTCCCATGAACAGAGAGCAACAATACCCGAAGTCCGAAGGTGCAAACTATTCGATGTTTATTGGGGTGAACTTCCAGCAAGCTTAAATCCAAGTTCCTTTTTCCTTATTTTAGAATCCCAACTTACTTCCTGTTTGCCCCTAATTTATATAGTAATATTCTTAGCTATACCTTAACCAATCATTCTCCTGAAATTTACCTAACCAATCCTAACATTATGTAACATGATTAGCTAACCAATTATATCCCTCCACCTTAGTTAGTTTACACCCAGCAAAATTTCCCAGCTGTGTCTATTGATAAGTGAGTTCTTACCTGACAGAAAACTATCAACCTAAATTTCCTTTTACATCTTCTAGGCACTTCCCTTTCTCTGGAGGTGATAGATCGGATTACCTTCCTAACAGCCCCAGATTGACTAGTTTGGAATGTGAGGATGTGACCGGTCACTTCCCAGCTTATGGCTGCCTCTGCTGCTTAGCCAAAGGCCTTGCCCTAAGAACAGGGCCTCAGACTGTCACAGCGAGAGAAGGCCCTTACACAGATTCTTTCTTGTATACCTCTATTACTAGCTAAATGATAAACATATACCTACATTCTTAGAGTATAGGCCTTTACAGGCAGGCCTGAATATCTATATCCTAACAACCACTACCTTGGAAAAACAATTCAAAATGAGAACATACAATTACTGGCAACAAAAGTCAAACAGAAGATTGTGGCAGATCTGAGGTCAGCAAGATATTCCTCTGTTATTCTGGACTGCACACCTGACATCAGCCATATGGAACAAATTACTTTAATGGTGCGTTTTGTAACAACAACAGAACCTAGTGAAAATGTCCCTGCAATGGTGACTGTCAGAGAGCATTTTCTAGAATTTATTGACATTAATGCTACTACAGGAGCTGGTATGACAAATGTGCTTCTTAAAAAGCTGGAAGATATGGGAATTGTGATAGCTGACATGAGAGGTCAGGGCTACAATAATGATGCCAACATGAGAGGAAAGAACAGAGGAGTGCAGACATGGATCCGAGAGTTAAACCCTCGAGCTTTTTTTGTCCCATGCAGTTCTCATTCATTGAACTTGGTGGTCAGTGATGCAGCATCAGCTTCCAGTGAGACTGCTGAATTTTTTAATGTAATTCAAAGCATCTATGTATTTTTCTATGCATCAACTCATCGATGGCAAATTTTGAAGCAACATCTGGGAACATCCTCTCTGACACTGAAACCATTGAGTGCCACATGATGGGAAAGTCGAGTGGAGGCGATAAAGCCTATCAAACACCAAATTGGGAAGATAGATGATGCCATAGTTGCCATTATGGAGGATAATGCTATGAGAGGAACTGTTTGTGGGAGAACAGTGGCAGAGGGAAATGGAATCACCAGAAACATACATAACTTCAAATTTCTCTGTGGCTTAGTGTTGTGGCATGACATACTGTTTGAAATAAAATTTGTAAGCAAGAGACTCCAAGGTGTTGACCTTGATATATCTGGAGCAATGGAAGAACTGGACAAAGCAAAGTCATACCTACAGTCTTACCAGTCAGATGAGGGATTTCAAAATGTTCTGAAGAGTGCAAAGAAGTTGGCAGAGGAACTTCACACTGAAGCTATTTTCCCACCCATTCAAGAATACGAGAGTCACTGAAGAAGAAGACATTTTGGTTACGAGGCACGGGATAATCCCATAAGAGACCCTCAAACAACAATTCAAAGTTGAATTCTTTAACCAGGTGCTCGATTGTGCAATACAGTCAGTTGAAGAACGTTTCATGCAGCTCAAGGAACACAGCAGTATATTTGGGATGTTGTATGATATTCCAAAACTCCTCACTATACCTGAAGAAGACCTAAACCAGCAATGCAGGGCACTAGAGACAGTGTTGACACATGATGACATGCACAATATTGATGCGAGTTATTTAGGTGATGAACTGAAAGCCCTTTCAAGATACATTTCAGCAGGATCAACTCTAAAGGCTGTTCTGGAATATATGTGCACAAATAAGATGCCACCCTCTTTCCAAATGTTTTTGTTGCTCTGCGCATGCTTCTAACACTTCCTGTAACAGTTCCCAGTGGAGAACACAGCTTCTCCAAGCTGACGTTAATAAAAACGCATCTATGCTCCACAATGACACAGGAGAGGCTGGTTGGCCTTGCAACCATTTCAATAGAGCATGAGCTGGCCCAGACGGTGGACCTTCAGCAGGAAGCAGTTCAAATCTTTACAATGAAGAAGGCATGGAAAGCACCACTTTGATTATTCAAAGAGATAAAAATTCCAGTGTTTACTATGCAGACAAGAAAAGTTACATTTGCTGTTCAGGCGTTTGAAAGTTAAATGTTACTTAAAATTTTTGAACAAGGCATTTTAAGTTGTTCATTCTCCTTTATTGGGGTAGTAGCAGAGCAGTACTATGAGAGGAGTAGAACGGGAAGAAGGCAGAATTGAGACCTTTCAAAGTTTTGGCCCAAGCAAGGGGGCATGGAGGTGTCATTTGAGCTCCCCGCCTCAGGTGCCAAAATGTTGTGGGCCGGCCCTGCTTGCACGCATCAGAGAAGTCCCAGTACAGACCCTGTGGCATTTGCCCATAGATTTTCATAATAATAACAGGACAGGAGATCCGGGTGCCATGGAGCACTGCGGTGGGGGTTACGCACTGTACATCAAGCTGCAACTGTACCAGCTCCTCTGACACAACACAAACCAAAAGGATTTGTAACTTGTGTAAGAAATAGATCCATCCACCTGAGCTCGTTGACACACACAGAGATGTGTAGACCACGGTCAATAAACATGCACATGTGGATTTAACATGCTTTGTATTTTATTTACAACTGAAAAAAAGAAATGAAATTCTATGGAGAAGAATGGCAGAAAAGCCCCCCTCCCCCTCCCACTCTGACACAAAAACACATTTTGGCATTGTGTTTTCAAAGCAACTTGATTTAATTAAGAGGGAATGTCTTTACAGGTGATACAAGGGCTCCCTTCTGGAAATTCTCCAGCTCATGGGGTTCTTTACAGCCCCAGTGAATGGTGCTTCCATTGCAGCAGGATTCAGTGATTTTAG